ATAGCATGGCACAATGATAAGTCTAGACTTTGTGGAGATTTTCGAGCTCTTAATCAATATACAAAGCCTGATAGGTACCCGCTACCTAGGATAGATCAATCTTTGACAAACTTGTTTAGAGCAAGGCATATTACACTAATGGATATAATGAAGGGTTTTCATCAGAACATAGTAGAAATATGTAGCAGAAAATTCCTTAGAATTATATGTCATTTGGGAATATTTGAATATATTAGAATGCCTTTTGGAATAAAAAATGCTCCAGCTTTCTTTCAAAGAATGATGGACACAGAGTTTTCAAAGGAGCTACGAGAAGGATGGCTTAAAGTTTACATTGATGACCTTATTCTTTTTCATACAACCTGGGAAGAACATATGGTATCAATGGAAATAGTATTATTAAGAGCCAAAGCCATGGGTATGACAATATCTTTAAAGAAATGTCACTTTGGTTTTGAAGAATGTAAAGCCCTAGGTCATCGAGTATCAGGATTATGGGTAGCAGTAGACCAAAACTCTGTAGCAGCAGTACTACATAAACCTTGCCCAAAGGATAAACAAGAATTGAGTTCCTTCTTGGGATTTACAAGCTACTACAGAGCTCACATTCCAAACTTTGGAATTATTACTCGTAGCCTTTACAGACTTTATGCTAAAGGTGTAGTCTTTGAAATGACAAAGGAAAGAATTGATGCAGTGAATAAAATAAAACAAATACTTACAACCGCACCAATTTTGTTTCATCCGGACTTTGAGAAACCTTTTAAACTTTACGTTGATGCATCAATTGAAGGTTTAGGAGCAGCACTCCATCAAACACAGATAATTGATGGGAAACCAAAAGAAGGTCCAATTGTCTTTATATCTAGAAAATTGACTGATACTGAAAGTAGATATTCTTCGCCCCAGCTAGAAGCCTTAGCACTAGTCTGGGCATTAGAAAAATTACACTACTACCTTGATGGTAGCTACTTTGAAGTCATAACAGACTGTACTGGAGTAAGGTCACTGACAAATCTCAAATCTCCAAGCAGACACATGCTAAGGTGGATGATGGCAATACAAGAGTATAAACCATTTATGACAATTACTCATAGACCAGGAAAATTCCACAACAATGCTGATGGACTTAGTAGAATGGCATTACCAAATGATTCCAGTAATCCAGCGTGGGAACCTGAAGAAATGGAAAGAGACATTCCGGTGATGGGAATCAGTTTATGTGAATTGTCTGAAGAATTTTTTGATGAAGTAAAAGCTAGTTATGAAAAGAATAGTAACACAGCTAAACTTACCAGAATATTATCTGCACAGAATACTAATCTGAGCCTATCAAGTACACTTGAACAACCTTGGAAAGATGGACTAACTCAAGGAAAAATTTCACTTGAGTCTGACCTACTATATTTTAGAGAAAAACATACTGCGGTGTTAGTAATAATGACTACTGAACATATTCAACAAACATTACATGTATGCCATGATGAATTTATGTCAGGACATCTGTCGGAAGACCGGACGGTAGATAGAATAAAAAGCACAGCCTGGTGGCCAAATTGGAGACAAGATGTTGAAGAATACGTAAAGACTTGTGAAAGATGCCAAAAAGCAAATAAAGCCACAGGAAAAAGATTTGGTTTACTTCAAAGAATAGAAGAACCAACTTATGCTTGGGAAGTCATTAACATGGATTTTGTTACTGGTCTTCCACCATCATTAATTAACAATTACAACTGTGTACTAGTCATTGTGGACAGATTTTCAAAAAGAACAAGGTTCTTGCCATGCTACAAAGAAGCAACAGCAATGGACATTGCATTACTATTCTGGGAAAGAATAATAAGTGATGTAGGATTACCACGAATAATCATCAGTGACAGAGATCCAAAATTTACTTCTGAATTTTGGAAGAGTCTACATGCACTTATTGGAACAACATTAGCCCTTTCCACTGCGTACCATCCACAGACTGACGGTCTCAGTGAAAGAAATATCAGTACCTTAACTGAGATCATCAGGAGGTATTGTACTGAAGGACTCTGTTACACAGATAAGGACGGACACACACATGACTGGCATACATTACTACCAGCCCTAGAGTTAGCATATAATAGCAGCATACACAGCACAACAGGAAAGAAACCTTTTGAAGTAGAAAGAGGCTATTGTCCTAGATTACCAAAGGACCAAATTAAGAATAAAAATGTTGAATTTCATCCAACTTCTTTAAGTTTCTTCGATATGCTTGGTAAAGCAAGAGCTCGAGCAGCTCAATGTATTGAAGATTCTGTGACTTATAATCAAGAAAGATGGAATAAAACTCATAAAGAACCTAAATTTGTAGTAGGTGAACAAGTTCTACTCTCTACTACAAACTTTACTAATCTTCAAGGACCTAAGAAACTTCAAGACCAATTTGTTGGACCATTTGTAATACTAAAATTCCATGGAAGCAATGCAGTAGAAGTAGCATTGACAGAGGAATTTGGGAGAAAGCATCCAGTATTTCCAATCTCATTAATAAAGAAGTTTCACGCTTCTGACAAGAGCAAATTTCCTGACAGGGAAATACCCAAGAAAACTCCTATCAGGTTTGAAACTGACGGAGAAAAGATTTTTTCACATATAATAAAACAAAGAGATACACAAGTTAACGGTAAATCTACTACACTCTATCTTGTGAGATACAAGAATAGGAGTGCAGACGAAGATGAATGGCTAGCAGCAGACAAAGTCCCTAATAACAGAACAACCTTGCGAGAGTTCAGAGCCCAAAGAAGAGCTCATAAACCTTCTGAAAAGAAGTAATGACCTCCTTTGAGGGTGGGGAATGTCAGCCCTGAGTACATATACATGTACCCAAAACTAACTTGTAATAGATAGATTGTAACTTACAAAACTTATTACATGTACATACAGCTTATAAAACACATGTAACATGTAATAAAACACATATAAACACTAACTACATATACACGTAAATGTAAAATCATATGTAATATGTAATAAAACATTAACTACACCTCATAACTCAGTGTCAAGAGTTAAAATGCTTATACTACATAATTACATAACATGTATATGTAATTATGTAGCATTAATCATAACCATAATTAATATTACCATTTAAGCCCTAAACCACAGTAGTGATATTAACAAATATCACCACAGTTAGGTTTGGAGAGAAGAGTATATAAACTCCTCCTCTCTCAGCCTTCAGAGATTTCCCACTAAGCTTTTATTACACACTACTTTTAAGAACAATTAAAGTTCTACTGAAGTAACATCAAGAGTCTTATAAATATAAGACTAGTGATATCTTCATTACTTTAATCAGTTCCTTGATTAAAAGTAAGTAATACTCTTCACTCTCCCCTGGATCCTCTACTACCCCTTAGTAGAACTCTAATAGGTTGGTGACCATATAACAACCCAAGGTTGGTGACCATAGAACAACCCAGGTTGGTGACCATATAATAACCCAAGGTTGGTGACCATAAGAACAACCCAGGGTTAGTGACCATAGATCAACTAGTCTAGTGAACTTCATCCCACTCTTTAATCTGTCACTAGAAGATTAAAGGAAGGGCTAGGATCCACCCTTCACACCTTATAATCATTTTATTAACTTCCATTTCTCATCCCTTCCCTTTGTTTATAATTCTGTGTAACTACTTTTATATTTGAAATATAATTATAATTACTTGAATTATAAGACCCACCTTGCCCAATTAGTGAGCCTTGAGTACTCAAAAGAGTAACCCACCCTCACAGTCCCAGGGTCATCTGGCAATCACAACACACAATCCATACTTGCCTCGCCTCTCATCAAATCTCTCTGGTGCTATTTGCTTGGACTCAATATGTTTTGCTGACTCAGCCATTTCCTTCTCGGACGTCTCGGATGATCAACTACTTGTAAGTTGATACAATTTGCAGGAATAGGTCTTTGGTGAACGATTTTTTATTGTAAATTTGTATTTCAGCTCAAATACATAAGATAGATCTCGCTTAGAAGTACTCAAGTATACAAGCAGAATGAATGTGATACTTGGAAAGGTTCAAATGAAAAGACCGACATTGATGAGCGTTGATGTTTATAAGAACTTCAAATGAATTACAAAACAAAGAACTGATCATTAGAGATCAGTATATAATTCACAAAAACTAAGTAGAAGACCACAGCAAAGACTCAGAAGTCTAGGTGATCCCGATCCACGAGGTCCAATAGACGGCATCAACTTCGAAACAAAAGCCAAAGAAGATTGTTCAAAGCTTGTTTAAACTCAATAGCTTAAGACGAGTGTTCTAAGTGAGATGAGAGACCTGCCATAATATTATATGTGTTTTCAATTCAAAATTCAACGTAAACAACCGGAAACAGTCCTTGGAAAGAACAGGAAGGAAAAGAACCCGTTTATTGACAGACATCGACTTATTTCATCCATGTCGATGAGATAAGTGAGATGAGATAAGTAATCGCCAGAAATCTATGCATGTTTGATTTGTATAACACTTTTACTTCAAGTTCAACTGAAACAGTCCTTGAGAAGCATAGAGAGAGAAAGAACCTGTGATCTAATTCGATGAAAGATCTGACAAGTCACATTGATCTCTAGTTTGGTCAGTTTGACGTATTCTTTGTTTGTTTTGAGGTCTTGGTCATGACTCATTCTTGGGCGTTACATTGTCTATGATGATGCCAAAAGTAATTAAATTTGTTAAATCTGAAGTGAAAATGAAAATCAATTGAAGATGCATCTGGTTTGCTCAGATCCATCTGGTAAATGTTTGAGTATGTAGTTAGATTCATCTAATACAGTGACTCAGACGTATCTGAATATCTCAAACAGATACGTCTGATATGCCCAGACGCTACTCAGCTAGAAAGCTTTTTTTGAGGAATAATATGACAAATGATTTAGATTGCAATTGTAATTTACTGTTTATCTTGTATTGCAATACGATACTAGGAGAAAGAAGAAACGATGTAAAGGAATCTACAAATGAACACAATTATTACCTGTTTCACCATCACCGCCGTTACCATCTCCACCAGTTCCAACTCCGCCACCATTACCACCAGTTTCAACTCCTCCACCAGTTCCCACTCCGCCACCATCACTGCCGAGTCCAACTCCTCCACCAGGTGTAGCTTCTTCACCATCAACACCAGGTCCGAGTCCTCCACCAGCTCCATCTGTATTACCATCTCCACCACCCGTTCCAACTCCGCCACCATCACCACCAGGTCCAGGTCCAACTCCATTACCACCATCAGCGGCCTGTTGAATTTCGCCTCCCAAAACCGACCAAGACTCAGTCACAGGTGAGTCCTTCTTGACCATCATAAATTTCATATCCTTTATATCTTGAAGCCAATGTCTCCGACCAAGGGTTTTCATGCCATCAAATCCTAGCATAAACTCACTGATAGACATCGCTGATTCTGAATGGCGAACAAATTTCACATCGACCTTGTGTTTTTCAAACAAAGCTGGCAGATCTGGACCTCGTGGAAAACCTCTAGTAGGGAGAGTAACGCCAAGTGCCTCTGAAAAAGTGAAATGAGATGTGTAAGTCAAAATTAGAGAGTTGTATGATCTGATCTCGTTTAACTGACTTAGCTGTGCTAGCAACAAACTTGTGAGCTCGGTACTTTCACGGTCCGACTTATTTGGAGGACGACTAAATTTGTTTGTAATGGTATTGTTGCTTGCCGTGCCAGCTGCTTCAATTTCCTTGATTTTGGGTCTGGCTTGGGAGTAGATTGGAAAGATAGTCTGAAATTTGATCCGCTCATCCATCCAGGTGCTGATTTCGGGTAAAGAAGTAAATTCTTGACACCAACCGGTCCCCAAGGTCTTGCTACACCCGATTGCGTAGTAATCGAAGTCGGCCAGAGCGGCATCATGGTGAAGCTAAGAGAAATTTTGATTTAGGCCATAGTGAGTCAGTTTCAGATGTGTCATTTAATATTAAAAATCATAAGGAAAGATGAAAAGTCTCAGAAAGAGGAAAGAGATGAAAGAGATGGAGGATAAATGGTCTATAATTGAAAGAGAGTTTTCAAATGAGTGGTTTATCACATACCTGTTGAACTCTCTTCTTGAACGCTCGAAGGGAGAGCCTTTCTTTTTTCTCGGGTGAAGGACTCTTGAATCTTGCACGATCTTTGGCTACCTTTGCCGAATCAACCAGCTTGTTGTATATAGGACGATACAGCGCTTCCTCTTCCGGTGAAAGCGTGGGAACCTCGGGGATCAGGACTTCACAGTCTCCGGCAGTCTCATGATCTTCCACACTGATTGCTGAATAGTCCGGATACCCTCCCAAGGCGTGGAAGATTCGGGAAGTGAAGATGGCATATTCGTCGTCGGTCAAATTGTCGTATTCTTTACGATTGGCCTGGTTTCGCGTGGTTAGAACAGAACCAGCGTCAGGAGCTCCCCGCAGGGGCACTGGAAAGAATAAACCAGTGATGATCAGTTACTTTCAAACAATCATATTACCTTTGAGTGTTAAAGTGAGCTCGGACTTACTAGGGTTTTTGTAAGCCAACTTTGAAAAGGCTAGGAATCGATTCCATGCATTTGTAGCCCGGGTTCCACCCACAATACCGCTAGATAGCCAATACAAAAGATACGAAAGTTTAGATGATAAAGAAGCTATGGCTGTAGAAGTTAGAAATGATGTTGTACTTACAGATGTAATTTCAACGTGGTGAGGTGAACTTGGCCAATCATTGCGAGCATGTGAAGCGAGTGTTGAAAAGCTTCATGAATTGCCTTTGCTTCAGCCAGGATGAGGGGAGGAGGTCGAGACTTATTATCAGTGGTCTGTGCCTTCAGTTTCTCCTCAATTCTTTGCAACGGCCAGAATTTCTTCTGATGTCCATAGTTGTGGACATCAATTTCTTCTAATTCAAGCGCATCAGATGGTGACTGTTGAGATTGAGACTGATTGTGAGGCTGATTCGATGAATGGGTGTTGGATTGAGTTTGATTTGAAGTTTGAGTCTCTAGATCCCTACGACGTTGAGATTCAGCTTCATCTCTTTCAGCTTCCGACTGCTTACGCCGTTTGAGTTTGCGGAGGTTGACTGCTCCAGGTGGGGTTGTTTTACGGCTACGTGTATTGATGGGCATGGAGGATGCTAGCGATGAACGTACGAAGTTGAACTAGCAAGGAAAAACAGATAAGAGAAAAGGAAATAACCGGAATGGTCAATGCGAAAGGTGCAAACCTCTGCGCAGATGTATCTGGTGAAGGGAGATTGATAGTGATGAACGTACAAAGTGGAACTAACAAAGAAAGACAAATAAGAGAATAGGAAATCACCAGAATGGTCAATTCAAAAGGTGGAAAACTCTGCGCAGATGGATCTGGTGAAGGGAGATTGATTCATCTGCCAGATCCATCTGCGCAGAGGGTGACGTGTACATCTTAACTTACATACAGAGCACTGTACTCATCCAAAACCTAAGTCACAAACTTTACACAGTATGTCCAGTTATGATCGATCAACATATATAGCGTTTAAAACCAAAACAAAAGCATATAAGCATATGGAAATATCACAGGTTCAATGGTTTGGAACATTTTCTCGATTAGTGATGAATGTGTATATGTAAGTAACTCGTTTGCTACATTTACTGATATAATTCTTACTAATCGATTGTGATTTTGCATTATTTACAAATCTGGTCTCCAATGATGATCAAAGAGCATTGAAGCCTTAGGATCAAATGTACAAGACTCTGAAGACAATACAATAATATAATGACCTGCCTTCAATTTGATTTACGTAGACACTGTTTCTATACTATAGCTTCAACACGGTCTTGTTGGTAGACATTTTTCTACAAAGTTTTTGTATATCTACTCATTGTTAGATTAGCGTAAGATTTTCTTAAGGGGTAAAGTTTGCTGAACTTACACAGTTCGTGGTACAATACCAGTGGTCACCAATGCTCCTTGATGATGGAATTTTATATTATAAGTACCTTCAAAAAACCATTTTATATCCAATAAAAATCAATTACTTTGATATTTTTATCCAATCAAGATCAATTAGTCTGATCATTTCTGTAAGTGTGATTTTTTCTTTGACTCTTAAATCATTCTTAAACTATCTTTTGATTGTGCTTTATGAGTTAAAGAAGGCAGATACACGGCAATACTGATTCCAATCAAGCCGTTTGGGTAGACTATTGAAAACCTATACTTATATAATATGGTGAAGAACCATGATTCTGGCCAGATACATGGTTCCCATGTTTATATTTATTATGGTCCGGGTTGAAGTACAGCGTGAATCATAGTACCTCAAAAAAGGATGACTGATTGCAAGTATGCCACTTCACAGGATTAGCATGAAGCCACAGCCACATAATTTACTCAAATATAACCCAAAAAAGTTTTGTGGGTAAACTTAAACAATGATATATCTTTAACTGCATCTCATAACATAACTGAAGAGATGCAGTTAAAGATATGCAAAGTATAAACTGGTGTAGAGGTCTTAGTTTGAAATAAAGCAGAACAAAGCAGTGCTGTTATTGAAAGTGTAGTTGAAAGTGGCCACATCTAAGTGTTTCTCAGTGTTACTAATTCTGGAGTGAGTCTTTATGTTATGTGAACTGAAACCTTTGAGCAGATAAGTATTTGCATCTATGTATGGTGATATCTGCACCTATGGTATATCATATCTCATATCTGAAACCTTTTTTTGACCAGCATGACCTGTTGGACTATTAATTTGTAATACATTAGGTGTTTGACTGATAGACATTCAGTCATATTATATTATTACTTGAGTACTTAAGTTCGTATGCCGTGTGGTATAATTGCAAACATATGAGCTATTGAGGAAAATGTGTGAGATTTTGGGTGAAGTGACCAAAAAAAAAAAAAATTGAGATTTTTGGTTTTTTTAATAGTTTCAAGTGAAATAAAGAAGGTACTTTTTTTTTTTGGTTTATCTCAAAAAACAAAAAAGTTTTCCTTATAGACCGTCTTCCCCAAAACCACGCAAAATTTCACTAATAAGCGCATAAGTAGTCCATGTGAGGGTCTGTTGACTACCTAGTGGGTAAAATATAAATTGCAATATATTCAAATATTTTTCTCAAGTTCAACTTTTTGATTTGAAGCACAACTGCAAAAGTTTTGATTGTGCTATGTGTTTCCGCAAACATGTCAATTTGGGTTCCGCGGGCCAACTGAATGGGCCATAAGTGGTGTATACACCCTTGATTTGACTAATAACTGTTATAAATCTAAAAGCCACATACTCCAATAATGTTCTCCAAGTTCAACTTTTGGGTTAACTGCAAAACTGAAATTTTTTTAATTGTGGGATGTGTTGCCGAAAAATTATCAAATAGGACAATATGACCACTCGTAACACCATAAGTGGTCCACAATACCTTGAGTTGACTTCCCAGGATTATTTTTATCAAATAACACAGCTGTAAGAATATCACACAAGTTCAACTGTTGGGGTTTCTTCAAAACTGAAAAATTATCACTTGTAGCACGTGTTTGCACAAAATTATCAAATAGTAATTTGTCACCACTCATCAGGCCATCAGTGGTTTACATGATGTTTTTTTTAGTGCTGAGTGGCATGAATATCAGAGCAATAGTATTCACAACTATGACCCAATTTCAACTTTTGTGATTGCTCCAAAAATTAAAAAGTTATCCTTATATGCTACATGACTTACTACGTGTCCACTGACCAGTGTAAGATGGCTTCAATCAGACCCTATTTGATTTAAAGCCCCATAAAATGCCTCGAGGAGGATGATCTTTGGTGTTTGATAACCTCTATATATATCACATTACCCAATTTCTTGCAAGGGCTTACCAAAAAAGCCATGGACTGTGCTGAAATAGGCTGAGATGCCCAGGTAAGCATAACAACATGGCCGGGCAGAATGCCTTATAATGCCTTTTTGTATTGAGTAATTTTTTGACATGCACTATTGAAATTCACTTTCTCACATAATCAAGGACTAAAATTTATCACACATGACAGGTCAAAGGGTGTCAAAGCTAAGACTGAGACGTCAAATGGCTTTTACATTGACATGTCACTTTCTAGGCCTGATTTGCAACAGGCTCTGTTGTCTCAACGCTCAATCCGTCATACACAGGGACTGCCCTTGAGTGAATCAGTAATAAGTTAACCAGAAGGGGTACTTATAATGAAGCTTTGGGCATAAATAGGTCTCTCTGCGTATTAAACCACCAACATAGTCCGCCAAACCTCTTCTAAAAGAATCAAACCTCAACTGGTTCTCATTTTGTAAAAAGCAATATCAAGTCTTCAGAAATACAATTTATCATCTTTTGGGACAAAATATTCAAAAATATGAGCAGTGCTAGCCAAAAATCTTGGTCTCGAACTGGGTCCTCCAAAAGAAAACGTCCGAAACCTCAAACTCCGGCAACACGAGAAAAACTAGAGAATGAGAAAGCTGCTCAAGCCTGGTGTAAGAAGAAGTGTGACGGTTATCTTGAAGTTATCACACAGCAGCAAGTACAACCAGCCACTGAGGAAAACCCACCTGACCCGAATGAGGATGACGATGACGAAGGTCCGCCTTTTGAGAATCATAATCAACTCGATGATCGTGTTGAACAACATCACGATCAAGCACCGGAACCTGGTCCTCCACGAAACATACTCGAGTTTGTGAAACACGATACCTACAAGACCCGAAGGGTGCGTGAAGAACAAGCATGGGCAAGATTCTTACGACCAATGTTAGTTGCCTACTTGCGCTGTTCATACATCACCTCCGAATGGGGAAATCCCACAACTTGGCCACACAATCACTTTAGGGAAGATAAGTGTTACTGTTTGGCAAGCGAAAAGAAGACTCGAGTTCTAGATATTGTCGATAGAGAGTGTGAGTAATAGTTAATAGTCCGTTCAATACACTCGATTTATGTATTCTTAGGCTTCTTGTCAATAGCTCGACAAAAGAAAGACTTTGTCTTCTGTAATTGTACACCAGATCAAGTCCGTTTGATCTCACAAGGCTACTTAGGAGGTTCTCCAACACGACCTGAGACGGCTTTTTCGATTCGGCTGATAAGATCGTATCATTTGACATGGAAACACCGCCCAATCGGTGTACAACCTTTCGCACTGGCACACGATGAATACCTTGATGCTTTCTGTGGTTTGATATTGATCAATGGAACCAATCAGGTAAGCTGCTGCGGTCAGAATTCTTTATAAATAGTGTATTAACGTCATCTTGGATTCACCAACCAATCTAGCCTCGAAATTGGAGACGGCCAATGGCATGTGCCATTCACGCATATCGTCAAATTTTGAAGGCGCGCGACGAGTTGCAGGATCTGTCACTCGAGCTCAGCAAACTACAAAAGATGGCTGCTATCTGCCCACGATGCTTTGGGCCCGGTGAGACTTCCAAGCGGCCCAATGAGCCGGACTATATTGTTTGTCTAGACGGAAATTTTCAACATAAACGACACGCCGCGGCCAGTCGAGAATTTGAAGAGATTCGACTTCAGTACCCATCCCTTTTTCTTACCAAAGAACAAGTTAAAGCGTGGGAGCCTGGAGCCAGGCCTGGAGCTAGGCAACAAGTCGAAATACCACTGGTCAGTGGTATTGTTCTATCTATTTCAGTATTAGTATTTTCTGATAATGTTTGAACCAAACCCGCAGGATCCCTGCACTGCGCAGCATACTGCCGCTGCTGACCGTAGGTGTGCCACCACATTTCGTGGATTCGATGACAATGGCCTCATGGGTATGGCTTGTAGGCATGACCAATTTTTAGCCTTCATAAATATTGTACAAAGTGGCGAAAAGTAAGGTTTCTGTTCTTTCAGTCTTTTTCGATTGTGTGCTGATAGATGTTTCATGTCTTGCCAGATCACACTTTGCTCATTCCATGATTGCCACCTTACTTGAACGCATTTCAGAGCCCACCAAACCTCCTAAAACTGTAGGAGTTCTGTATGATATTGGTTGTACGCTTGAGAAAGGTATACAAAATGTAAGTCTTTTCTTCTAATCTAAGAATTGAATATATAATTTATATCACTTGTATCAACCTACAGAATGATTTATTTGTCCAAGAGCGTGAAAGAAGTCAGCTCAAGTTTGGTACAAGCGTCTTCCACGCACATGTACATCGCTGGAGTTGTCAATTGGACTACAATCCCCGTCTAAATACAGGCTGGGGACTATCTGATGGCGAGGGTTTGGAGCGAGATTGGTCATTTTTAGATGCCCTTGTTGCCCTTCTACGTTATGTTACCAAGCAGCATCGGCTTGACGCTTTACATTTTCAAGCACTTCATAGAATTTATTTGGGTCAAGTAAACATAGGTAAGTCTTGCTAGTATTGTGTCAAGAATTTTCTCATTTTTGTGCAATAATGAATGTTTGTTATTGGGCTAGGCCGATCAATGAAGGATCGGGTCAAAAAAGGTGTTTCATCTCTGCAAGAAGCACTGGCGCTTCTTGAAGAGCTTGAGAGAGCTACTGGCTATCATACTGAATACTTCTCGCAGCAGTGGGAACGTCAGAAGACTTGCCAACGGGAATATATGGGCAATACAAACATCCAACACCTCGAGTTACGTTTAGGACGCCTGATTGACCTTGAGGAGAGCTTTCAAGAAGGTCAGTAAGTCACTTGTTAACATGCTTGGATCCATGTATCATTCTCCTAGCTTATTATAAAACGTCTCATTTTCAAAGCGAACGGATGGATCAACTTCGACGACAGCGACGAAGAAATATGTCCGATGCCGAATTTGCTGAGTTGCGATCGTTACCCGGCATACTGGCTGATCTGGCTGAAGCCATCCAAGAGATCACGGCTGAGTTGGGTGGTCCCGAGTTTCAAGATATGGCAGCAGCAACTGGTAAGTCTTTTCTCATCATTTCAAGGCTCATGGGTAGCTGACATATCATCATCCCATAGATCCTCTTGCTCGTGCTTGTTTCCAAGTTCGCTTGGCCAAAGAAAACCTTTACGAAGCAAAGGTCGGCGTAATCGAACATCAGAAGAGGTGGAATAAAGCGGATCAGGGTAAGGCTTTCTCACTGTATTATCAAACTGAACCATTTTGTCTGATGATGATTATACAGGTGCTTCTTCTCAGCAGCGATTCAAAACCACCATGAACACACGAGTTGCCACTGTCAAGCGTAAATGGACATCCTATATAACTCAAATTGAGACTCTTCAAGAGAAGTTTCCAGATTATCCTCCTCCGCATATACCCACTTTAGATGAGGTACACCAGATGCCCATCAGCGACCCTTTCTGGAATATCGGCAATTTGACTCACCCTGAAGAGGCGTGGGCTGTAGATGAGGCAACTCAAAGGGGAATAGAAGCTTACCGCACTCTACGTAGCTGTGAAGAAGAATTAAGAAGGGTTTCACGAGAGGTGCAAAACGTGGTACTCCACTCTCTTGAAATGGAGGCCAAGTTGAATGACCTGGCGGCTTTGAGTATGATACGTACGTACATTTACTTTCTTTACTTTCATTTTCATTGGTTTAACTATCCCTATCTTGTTGTTTGTGTCATTGCAAATTAGCTTACAAAGCTGGTTTTCCAAATGGAACTCGGCCAATCGAGCTAGTTCAAGCGGGTGGTATTCTTTCCAAAGAAGCGTGGGATGAGAGTCAAGAGGTCCTCAAGTCCGTGCACAACTCCCTATGTCGTACATACTGCCGTAGGTGGATGGTTTGGGATGATGAGATCCCTTTATTACTTGATCAGACAAATATACATTGTGATAATCCATCAGAGACAAATGCGTCTCTTGCGGTACGCTGGAAAGGTTTGATGGATCGTAACCGTGAGAAGTGGGCAAGTATGATCAATGGGAATCCTGTGTTTGCCGAAGGGCTTGATGAGGAGGACTTCGAAGAGAACCGGCTGAATAGGTACGATGCAGGTGAACCGTATGAGAACGAAATGGACTTGGCCTTTATGCTGCCAGATATGCTTGTATTCTAGTCTAATTTCATTGATTTGAACAAATCTTACATGCTGAGCTGAAATTGATATCTTGTTTTGAGATTGCCAAGTGAGAAAGTGCGCCAATACCCAGACGCATCTGCTTGTTTTCACTTGCAATAAGGCGGATATAGCCAGACACATCTGGTCTTCATTGTGTACATGTAGAATTGACTATACCTCGGTGTTTGTGTGATCCGGTTTTGATCCATGTATCAGATGCATCTGGCTGCTGTTGAATGGTGTGGCAGGGTGTGGCGGATTTAACCAGATGCATCTGGTCCTGTAGTGCGTGGTATGTGTAGAGAACCAGGTGCATCTGGTTGAATTCAGATGAGGTGTGGCGAGTGGAACCAGATGTGTCTGGTCAGTTGCACATCTGATGTGTGACGAGTGTAGGCAGATGGATCTGGTGTACCAAGTACATCCCAGATTCATCTGGCATTGTAGTTGCTGCGTAGGGTACACATGCAGATGAGTCTGATTGTGAAGTTGTGTATACGTGATGTAAAATCAGATGCATCTGCATCTGCATGTGACTTTTGGCGCTGGGATCGTGAAGTCTTTCAACTAAACGTAGAACAATGTTCCTGGAGGCTTTAGCGGTTCAAAAGCGAGAACTAGACAAATTTGAGAATGAAGAACATAAATCCAAAGGTACAACTTGATGGTGTACCTTGAAAGTGATCGTCTGGCTCATCTGCAGGCATCTGGCAGGTTTCATCGGTATCTTGCCGACAATAAAGTGTGCAGTTACGCTCGGCTACATACCGTAGGATCTGTACCTCTCAGGTGAGTTAATCTCAAGGTCCTTGCCAGAGCGCTCTGAGGACCGCCAGACCGCTCTGAGGACCGCCAGAGCGCTCTGAGCAGCCCTCAGAGGCCTCAGCTCTGACTTGTCAATTTTCGGAGTTGACCTGCTGCATTAAAAAGGTACGTCTTTTTTACACAGTCATGAATGATAATGAAGGTTTTCCAAAATTCTAATCATGTTCAATCTCCTCGTCTTCATTATCGTCGCCTACATCAAACCATCCAAAACGATCCTCCTCCTCATCAAACTCCATGTCATCCATTGCTATCTCGTCGGCTTCTTCAACGTCAAGCGGCTCCGCTTCCAGGATTGGCGCTTCAACTACACTTTGCCAGGCTTCTCTGGATCTCGACACCAAATTGGTCCATTGAACCTTAAGCTCGGCTTCACTTTCTGGCGACAATTGACTGTATTGAAGAGTTTTATTGAAAACATTCAACATTCCAATGTTCCATGTGATCCATAATCAACCACGAGTCTGGGTAAGATGGGCAAGAAGTGAGCGCAAAACTTCCTTGCTCTCAGCTAAGCGTTTGGACATGTCTGGCTTTACTGATCCACCCGTTTTTATAATCCAGGTGTTTGTAACACTACCAACGTTGTCATCTACACAGAGTCCATACACTTCATTAGACGTCAGTATTGGTCACAAAAGGGGGGTCACTCTTACCGTTTACAGCAAGTGTATCACGAAGAGCTGATATCTTCTGCTCAACACAAATAGCCCACTTGATCATTTGACGACACTCGCGACCAACTCGAGTAAGCTCGTCATGAGCATGCGACATTGCAAGATAGGCTTGAATTCCCTCTTGCGTCTTTGGATCGACCGCCCACGCCTCACCAGGATGTGTCAATTGACCAACATCCCAGAAAGGATCATACACTGAAAGAGCTCGTCAATCTTCAAATGTAGGACACTCAAACACAGGTCCATCTGGAAAATCATTATGAAATCCCTCCACCAGCCGTTTAAAGGTGTTGTATTTTGATTTGAAAGCTGCCTGTTTTTCCCTCAAACTTTTCTTCATTCTCTGTTGGACACGAGTCCCTGTTGTATTGTAGTTTCATTAGAATCAGTGAAATGCATGTGTATATTTCAAATAATTCTTACACACCAGCTCGTTCATCACTATGCTTCTGCATAGTGAAGACATCAATCTTTGCCATGTGAAGCTTGTTTTTGGCCACCCGGAGTCGAATCAGACCTCGACCCTTGGGTGCTGAATTCAACACAAGAGGTTGATTAGTTAAGTCTCTCATCTCAATGTAAAAAGATGACCTCACTTGCAGCTCCAGGGATATCTCAATATTCGTCCCCTCCAAGCTCATCCACCAACTCATCAATCTTTGCTTTCAGAACCCGAATTGCATCAGGTAGAGCTGCAAACTCGAGCTGCTCTGCGTGTGTTCGGTCAGCTCTACGTTTTGCACGCAGCTCTTGAAGATCATCTCTATTCGTATGATACACAGGAAAAGATATCAACCAATTGATCACGTTAGTTGGGCGTGTAATTACTCAACTCCGAGGTATGCAGGCTTTGCTCTAATCCAACAAGCTTTGCCAATTTACTACTCAGAGTCGCCGAGTTTTTGTGAACCAATGCATTCAACTGACACTCGCGCTGACGAGCCCATTGTTGAATAAAATAATCCTCGTTGTAACGAGGCTCCCGCTTGAGAACTTCCAGTTTCAATTTGTTGTCTAAAAACTGTTTACGAGCTGTACGCTCTCGTGACTGTAACCATCTCACTGAAATATAAAACAACACCAGCGTGTGAGTTTTTGTGTTTTCCTGGTGTCAAAAGAAACGTTACACACCCAGTTTTACTCTTCCTGCCTCGTTATGATGCTGTAATGCACAAAGCCAATGAGATGAGGTTGAATACCTCAAACCACCAATCAGTGATGAGAGCCTGGACCAAATACGTTCCATGCCCTCACCATCTGAAAGACCCCAGTCCATATTCAGCCTTGGGTTGTATTGCAACTGGCAAGTCCATTGGTGAACAAACGAATGGAAAACGCTTGTTCCAAACATCAGCAAACCAGTGTCTCGCTTATCTGCAAACAAATTCCGCTGGAAAACATACTCATACACCATCAATCATAGTCAAGAATGTGATGATTAACTCGTCATACTGACTTTGAGAATACCCTTCTCCATATTACAACCAATGTCATACAGGACACCAAACTTCATATCATCTCGGCTTCGTTTCAAAAGCCAATCCAGCATAGCTACAGGGAAACAACCCCTTTGAAGACAATATCAAAATGAAACATATACTTATGAATTCCTTTAAAGCAAGTTGTACAGCTTGAGATGGTTTGAATAGGTGAGATGTTATGTACATACTAACTTTTCGCCACTCTGAATTATATTGATGAATTTCAATATACTATCGTGTCGACAGCCCATACCCATTAAGCCAGTTTCATAATAGCTTTTCCACGTGTTCCGCCCTCAAACATCGTCAGCAGCAGTGTGCTGTTCGCTACAGGGGTGCTATGTAAAAGAACAACAGCAAAATCAGCCTTGAAAACGTAAGTATGTGATAACTTTCAGTTGGAATTTGACACTCACAATCACATCCAAATGTTTGTCACGTGGTACATTGACACTCATGGTAGTCTCCCAGGTCTTGACTTGGGAAGGTGAAAGGAACAAAGACGGAACGAGTCCCGAATCACCCCGCCATGCCGCACTTGCCGAGTAATGACGGCGCTGCTGGAAATTGGCATCGAGACAGACGACTACGTCTGGCTCGGTGGGTCGCTTTCCTGGGACTGTTGGCCCAAAACAGGCAGGACAACTTGATGCCAACCTATCCACAGATGATAATCTCAAAGCTTGATTTGTCATTTCATCTTCTAGTCGCACAGAGAACACGCTGGGCCACGTAAAAATGAGCCTGTAGACGAGCCAGTCCGCGGTCCTGTGACATTGACTAATTTGGACAGCAGTACCGTACACATCTGGACAGCAGTACCGTAGCACATTCCCTCGGTTAGTCTCACACACCTTTTTGTCTCCTGTGTGAGACAATTGCGGCGAAAAGATTCTTCTCCCAAGACTCTTTTTGAAATACACCAACTCACCTCGGCACTGTCTCCGACATTACAAATTATCGCTCATTGCTCGTGCCAGCCGAGCATGCCGGCTCAGTCAAACGAAACCACCCCGATGAAGCACAAAGTGCAAGGTTGGATAATGCAGACCGAGAACCTGCTGAGAGAAGTGGCCAACCGGCAGGGACAGCAATTGTTACAAACCAATAAACTGTGCATCACGGAGGATATACCCGGCTTGAAGTTTGATGCTTTGATCCGCTCAAACATTCATGGCGATTGCCTGCACGATCAACACCGTTACCGTGCTTACTCGCTTACTACTTTAAAAATTGCGTGTTGATATGCTTGCCTTTCAAGATGGTCGCGCATATTAACATGATGTTATAGCAAATTGTATCCCTCCTAGAGACACCATGCAATTATAAAAACTGCAATCCATACCAGCTCTTATAATCAGTTAGTTAAAATAAGCGCACCCACCCAACGATCTTCTTCAACCCAGCACGCCATCAAATATTTGTCTGCTAATAAGCGTAGTCATTTTGGTTCAAAAAATATTCATCCCAACATACACAATTAAACATGTTCCTCAAAGATCTTGTCGCCAGTCTCTCCCAAAAATACCCCAACACCTACAACAGTCTCACTGTCAGCCAGTTTAGCACGCTCGCCTCCCTTTCTGCTGATTTCTTGCAAAGGACCAGAGAAACTTATGGCCCCTCACCCACCGAGGCACCCATTGAGTTTCTAGCACGCTGTCTGGACAGCGCTCAAACCCCTGCGGTTTGGGCGCGATTGTGGAATCTGATCTATGATGACATTCCGAACTGCCTACACAACCCCTCACAATTCTTTTCTCAAGGTATTCCCCCAGAAATACACGAACCAGATGCCTTCACAATTACCGAGCACACGTTTGAACCCCCTACCGAAAATTGTTTCACTTGCGACAATGACGGCGTGGCCCTCGCACTTGAGAATCGAGAGCAAGTTTATGCGTACCTGATCGACATCAATGGCATCGACAGTGTACAATACTTTACTTCATATTGCCGAAGTGAGCTTACCAATATTCAATATTGGCCAACCGCTTACCAAACATTTGTATTTTTTCCAGAATGCAAGTCAACTTATACACCGTGCTATGTCCGACGTGAAGCTTTCCGCGATTACTACACCCCAGAAGAAGGGCAGCCAACTAATCACTTCCAGGTGTCACAGCACTACTTCATGACTCATAAAGCCGCCGATCACTTCAATCATCTTCAGATGCTGGCACAGTATGTTTTACTCCATGCATCCTTATTACAAAAGGCTAAACCTCTTATATGTCACAATCAGGGTTTCCGTTTACAACATTGTCAATTCTTACAACAACACGCACGCATCACCCGATGCCATATATTCAAACGCTTTTCCATCCGACCGCTTTCAACGTTGGCTGAGTCCCAAGGTGTGTTCACTTGGCCTGGACATCCACCGGTTGATGCGGACCTACAATACTCGAGGTCTCAGATTGAAGGGTGATGCAGCAGGAGGAGATGATCGACGGTTCTTCTCAGCTATGGAGCAAGCTACTGCATGGAATCAAATCGAAGGATCACCTTACTTTGGCCACGCCTGCACCCTTTGTACTGAAGTCGAAGAGATTCCTCTCACCGGAGGTCATGCTCGAGGTAGGCCCTTCTTTCACATCTATATTGCTTTCGTCCTCCAATCTCATTCATGTCAATCATTCCAGTCATGCGGGCGCTAGTCACAGATGGCATAACCATGGGACACTGGTGCTGCAGTGTAACCGAAGAGCCAGTCAAAGCTCTCGATCCCACCACCACTGACATCTATTGTGACCAACACCTCGAAAAAGTCAAACATAGGTATTGCTCCGAACATCATGCCATCCTCAAAGGGTGTTGTCAAGCTCAACCTTGTGTGAGACCCGTATCTGCCGAGGGATCGAAGACCTGCGGCGATCCAGCTCACGAAGCGGCGTATGCAGAATTTGCAGCAAGGAACGGCAGTCTTTTCGGCTTACCTCGCAAATTCAAGAGACCTCACACTCAAATGCAGATCGATCCCAGCGAATTATTAGATGCAGAAACCGGGGAGGTAACCTTAACTGAAGCAGAATTATTATTGTGTGAGGTCACTGATCGCGAGCATGAAGCTGCAAGAGACGGAGGAGCCGCTGCCAACAAAGGAACCAAGAGAATTGTACTTTCACGTGCCCGTACTCACAACGAACAGCTAATGGTAGCACCCTGTGGCATCATCATTGCGCGTAAAACTTTTTACAAATCTGAATCTGTGACCAAAGTAAAAGTTAGTGATCATTTCGATTCTCTTTGCGAATTAAAAGTAACTCGGACTTTTTCCTTGCAGGAATGGATCAAGGAGCTTTTCCCCGATGAAATTCCTCAAGTCATATTTTACGATAACGCGTGTGGATTATATTCACACATCCGCACCAACACGGATGATGTTGAATTCTTTCGAAACACTCTCCTCCCGGTGGATACCTTCCACATCAAGTCTCACAAAGAGACTCACGCCACCTGCAGACTCAATAATGATCCGGATAAATTCCCGGAATTAAAGAATGCTGACGGCTGGAAGTTCAACGCATCAGCTGCTGAGATTGAAAACGCTTGGTTCGGCCGCTTTGATTCAATGTGCCGTGGTATGCACCCTGTCAGGTACAACTTCTTTTTAGATGAAATGATCCGACTCCATAATGTACGACTTGAGGAAAAACTACGCAAGCGCGACAAGGTAAAATTCGTAGGCAATATCCATTACAGCACTGTCGCATTGTAGGTGTACCTCGTTATCTATTAATGTCTTGTACTCAGCTCACGACTTTGAATCCTTTTTGACAGGAGTTCTGAGTTCTGTTCAAGTTGATCATGAACATTGAACAAACCACTGGATTCATTTTGTAACTCGTCATGAACTTTGGTACCAACAATCCGTTTGTTTCGGAAGCTCTTATGATCTTCATGTCTTTGCTACCACTGTCCACTTTGAAATTGAAACTTTCCCAACCATTAAAATACTAAAAAGAACTGACTCAAATATCGTATAATGATTCAAATTGTAGCATCAGCTCTAGACCATACAATGATAGGGTAATTTGTATCCGATCTTGCCCGTTTAATGTATCATATCACAATTTCTCATTTTCTCATTTTGTGTCTCCCTGTGATTGTTTTTCAGTGTAATGCACTCTCTATCTAAGATACACTGGGTGAAAAGTGATGTCCCAACAAACGTAATAACATAACTACAAACGTAGAAGTATTGAATTGTTATGAAACCCAATGTCATCATAAAGAGCGCGAAAAGTAACATTAAATTAGATGCTGCCATCGTAATGAAAACAAAAGTAACATAATGAAAACAATATTAACTAGAATATGATTTAAATAATATCATCGTAAAGAAAACAAAAAGAACATGAACAATTCAAAGATGGCCATCGTAAAGACAACAAAAATAACATGAAGAAGACAATTTGAATAATGCGATCAAAAAGGAAACAAATTGAACATGAAGTAGTAAATCTCGTATGCAAAATATAAAAGGCCAGCTAGTCGGACCGATTGGCTGGATAGCCCGTTTGTACATTGTACAGGCCAAGAGTGCGACAAATTGGGTTGCACTTGTGTTCACCTTTGAAATGCACAAATGCCATGTGGACTTCTTCGTCCATGTCGGTTCCCGGTATACCAACGTGCGGATACCTGACAATGATTTAGTAAGCATGAATGAATGGTGGAGTCCAAAGTGATACTACTTACCCTCTGGTAAAACATATCAGGTTCGATAAATTACCTGATTTGTCACAATCAATTTGGCTCAATAACGAAAGAGCTCCAGTCCGGTGATACGCGAAATGGGCTAAAGCATGCACTAAATTGCTCCACTTGTCCTCGTGGTCGCACCTGAACTTGTAAGGGTGTAGATAGCGCACATTGTCTGAGTCGTGGGGTGCATCAATCAAAAGCCATTCGGACTCGTCAGACAAAGTACGACCAAACGTCTTAAGTAGGCTGTTTGGTGGTACCTGGATACACAAAAAAACACTTTTAGAACTGAACTAAGTATTTTTCAAGAGCAAAAAAAATTACCTTTAAGTTACAACTTTGCATATGCATGTCTTCTGCGGCGATGCGAGCAGTTTGGCCACGCTTCGATTTAGACACATTTTCCAAGTCCTGCACAAAGACCTTCAACAAATCTGCTACGTAAAGGTTGGACTTGACTCGCTCCAAAGCATGAGATCGCGCTAAGTTAGGCCTCGAGGTCCACTCCGTATGCTGTTTGGCGATCATCGATTTAGGAACAGTGTCGCCTAGGATGGTCATATTGTGCTGAATCCAAGAATTTGAATCCCGAGTAAAATAGTGTTGCTGGAATGGATCACACCGGAATGTGCATACACGTTCTTTCATTCGATAGTCGCCGCCCGCTGGATTGAAGGTGAAAGGGTCGCCCTCAAGAACCAATGCAATAACTTGGTAGTCCCAGCCACCACGGACAGATCTGGTGTTTGGTGCAAACATGAAATTGGTGTCACGAATCTGTCTTGACAACGTGACAATTTCTTCTTCGGAGACTTCCACATCACGAAAGATGTTGCCATTGCGAGACGCCGGAACGGCTCTACGACGAGGCAGAGTTAGAGTTGTTGAAGTGATGGGCGGCTTGGTTTCCGTAAGTTGATCATAAACCACATCTGCCAAGGAAGACAAGCTGATGGATGTTGATGAAGGTTGATCAGGTGTTTCGGCACTGGTATCAGTATTGGGGGTTCCCTTGCGACAATTATCAAAAGCCGGCGGGTCATCATCACTGAAGGTAGCAGCTATATCTGGCATAATAATCAAGATAAATGTGATGTGTGGATGGTTTAATAATTGAGCAACGTGACAACGTGAAGGAGATATTGATACAACTTTATAAGTGTGTAAGTGTAGGACATTTTATAGTAGATGACATACTCAAGAGATTCATTTGCGGAATAGTATGAATAGCGCGAAAGCGGGTGATCGAGGGTGATCGAGGGTGATCGATAATTCTATTATCGTATTACCATCGTTTGGCCGGATTAGTTTGGCCTTACTTTCCAATTTACACACGTTCCACATAATGAGGATGTTTTTCCGCGAGCTAGACCCCTCATTTAGGTTTTGTTCTCATGATTTTCTTATCATTCCGTCACCTCTATTCATGTTACCCCATGGTAAAATGATTGAAAGAATTCCCAACATAATATTACTAATTGATGTGCTTGTCTGAAGTCATTTCCGATCAATTAATAGAATTCTTTGAGTCTTTGTGATCGATTCTATACTATTCATGACGGTCAATAACTCTTTCTTGCCCATTAAGACTCAGTTAATGAGCAAGAAAGAGTGTGATTGGTCACGCCAATCACTTTTTAGATTACTTTGGCACATGTAAATCGCAAAAGAAGTCATTCGACTTCAACTAGTTGCTGCATACTTGATGGTATTACTGGACATAGCTTAATTAATAGGTGGCATAGCATACATCAAAAAGTCCGAACGGCAGACATAAGGAGAAGACAGAGAAATTGAAGACATATAGATGCTGAAAAATTGAAAAAATTATATATACAAAAACTTATTATTTAAATGAACGGTTGGAAAGGAAAATTTTATACAAGGTTAGAAAAGGGAGAGATAGAATTCATCTGGGAGTACTCATAGCTTGACACGCTTGGATGGGGTTGGTTGTTCTTCAGTTTCCCCAACGTTTTTGGTAGCTAGCCATTCCTTGTGAAAGTATCGAACCCCGTGCTTAACCCGCTTGTCGCCATTTGCCGAAACATATCGAGCCAACCGTTCAGTGTCAATTGCTTCAAGCCAGCGACGGTAACGAGACGCAGTGGATTTAGCGTACTTGTAACCAGCGGCTTTGAATAGTGAATTCCAAGCGGCTGGTATGGTCACTTTCGGCTTCTTTGACTGAATTAAGAACTTCTCCATGTCGCGCATGACACATGCACAGGGCCACTTCCCCAAGCGTCCAGTAGGGATGCCTTCGGTGCTTTCGTCGTCACTCGGATCAGGTGTAGATGTGAGGAGGCGGATACGCTTATTGGAAGAAGATGCCTGAGGTTGTTCAGGGGGTGAAGGAGAAGATCTAGCGACAGGAGAACCTTTGAAAGGTGACGGGTTGAGGTGTTTGGTGATAGTCATCGCGGATTTGTTGCTTGATGAGACTGTGGCCTTGTGGTGATCGAGGTTTTCGCACTGGCTCGGGTCGACGTCTGGAAACAGTACAAGAAGTTTTCGACAGTTTGTTGGGTACTGATGGATCATTCCAAATGGAACATTGAGCTGAAACAAACAACGATTTGAATCCGGGTTATTTTACATTGGTTTTGGTAGTTGCAGCAGGAAATTCTCACCCATATTTTATTCTCCGCACTCCAAACCTGCAAACTGCCATTCCAGTCATTACCCAAATGTTTGTGAACTACCTTCCTAAGATCTTCGGATTTGTTCAATGCAACCAATGGCCATTGTGGTGCATACACCACTCCCGCCCAGCAGCCAGATTGGTAGCCCTAAAATAAATGAAATCAGCCTGGTTCATTGCTTTTTGTTAATAAAAAAGTAAGACTGAGACTGACCGCGGTGCCGGTCCACACCATCAGAGTGACTTGTTTATTTGCAATCTGTTCATTATCTCTTTGAGTTCGTTCGTCTGCCTGTTTTTGAATCGTGATACTTTTGAACTTAGCAAATTCTGACGGAAGGAGAAGGCGTGAATAAGTTCGACCAGCTTGGGTAAGGGGAGTGGCCGATGAGCTTGTAGGACCGCTCGGTGATAGTGGTTGCTTGCGAGCAGATCGCTGGGACCCACGATTCATGGCACCGTGAGGTGCACATCCAGCCAATTGATCATTGAGTTCCTGGCAACACTACATGGAACATGTAGAATAAATATGATATGTAAGTTACATGATATCTAACATCACCGGGTTGCACTGAGAAATAAACTTACATGGCGGCAGGCATTGGCATTGCATGAATTGTTCTTCCGCATCGTATGACCAGTGGCAAATTGACCTTTAACGCCTTGGCATTGAGCAGATGAATCAACTTTGGTGGTGCGGCGTTTGGTTTGAGAAGTGGTTTGAGAAGTGGTTTGGGAAGTTTGGGGAAAGGTTTGGGAAGTAGTGTTTGAAGCAATTCCACCGATGAGCCGTGGATCGACTTCCATCGCGAGTAACTGGGCGTTGTGTTCGAGGATTTCGACTCGGTATGGGTGGTAGAAACGTGTATAACAGGCCTTGTAATCGTGTGGACACTGTAAGGATGATGATTGTAATATATAAGATTCAGTGTGATCCAGTGGTGGACATCTTTTAGTTTGGTCACGTTACCCTTATTCCAATCAGCTTAGCGTTAGGTTGGTTCCGTGGTTGGTAGTAGAGCGTGGAGTGAGTAGGCCTCTTGGTGCAGTTTGCTGACTGGCAAATAAGTCCAGTTTGCTTGGTTTTGCGGGAGGGGACAGGCAAAGGTTGATAGGGGTTGATCGGGTTCAATCGTGTGGTTCTGGAGCCTGAAGGCATGACAATCAGTGGAACTGTTTGTAAGATGATAACTCGCGGAGTTGGTTGTGAAATGAAAATGAACTATGAGTAAGATGAGAACTCGCGGAGGTGAAATAAATGAACTATGTGAATGATGATAACTCGCGGAGTTGTCCTGTGAAATGGAAAGTTACTGGGGAATTGATAGATTAGAGCACTAACATTAAGGGCCGGTCAATATGGAGCTATATAGGGTCCCTTGGTAGATTCGTCAATTGTGCTCCCAATGGCAGTAGGGCAGGTCATGAGTCTCCAATGTGGTTCGGCGCGCGCGTTGCCGAGGTAATGCGACGCTGATTTGGGTGAGTGGTTAACATACAACAGCACTGTTCTGGTTATATGAGGTGGCTGGGCCCTCCGCACGGTCAACATCTGGATTTTCGTACGCCCCCATGACCATTTTCGTAAATCAAGGGTCTTTGTGGAAGCCGAGTGAAAAGGCGACGTGCCCGTTGAGGTGATCGGAAGTGGTTGACCGAGCAAGCCTGCGGCGGCGTTAATCACGTCCGGTTTGAGTGCGGCGACCGTTCCGGAAAGACGGGATCTTTCGTGAGAGTGCAATAGCGAAGTGGGAGATTGTCAAATCCGTCAAATCAAATGTGGACCAATTAATTCTGGGTGTTGCGGTTTGTACAGCTATCTAGAGCAGTGTACGAAGTGTCCCTGTACCACTGCTCTAGACAGTGAAGAAGTCTATCGCCGATTATCGCCACTATCGCCGCTATCGCCGATTATTTGGCCTCAAAATCAACAAAAAACGACCAAGTCCCTCGATTTTCATATAACCCCCGGTAGACTCGGTACCATCAAACAGTATATGACCACCTGTACATGCTACCCAGATGTCCGGACCGGGCAACCCAAACTTCAACCTCTGCGATCACCACTTCTCGACTTCCACCACCTCATCGATTCAAACCACATCTTATCAATCACTCACCTCATGATGATTGTCCTCGAGTACCAGCACGATTGTGACATCCCTGACACGCCTGAGGTCCGAGTCAAGAGAGTCGAAAGAGGTTCGCAAACCGAAGGACCTGATGAGGCCTCCCCACCCCGATCACCACCACCATCTCAATCTCAATCAATACCGCCACCTCAAACCCCATCTCAACTTCCATCAACATCGTCACAATCATCAGGATTGTCAAACTTCATTCCAAAGTGGCAAAACTTGATCACGGTCAAAACACAACCCTACGAGCAATCTCCATCTGTTTCCGATCGAATTGTAAAGACTTTGGAAAAACTTGACCTCGAGGGTTTCAAATGGAGCAAGGAATCAATGCTCAAGGTATTAAAGGATCTTGGCGAAGCTGAAGTGCTCACTAGAGACCTTCAAGAGTGTGACATATTTGATGAGTAAGCCTGTGGTCTTTTCATTTGTTGAGACTAATACACTATTGACTCACTGACTCAAAGTTTACTTTTAGTGATGTTGAATAGCTTCAACATCCTGAATATCTGTTGTAGTTTGTAGTTGTAGTAGTTTGTTAGGTTATTTATGAAGGAGGCAGTAGATCGATTATTTTATATCTCGATATGTTGTTCAGAATGATGAAGGAGTTTTCAGTCACACCTTTCACTTTATTTCTCTGCTTGTCCTCTCAATATCTATGTTAGCAGTGATTGAATTAAAAGGAATTGTATTTTTTATTTCAGTGTCTTTATTTTTGTATCTCACTTTGGTTTTATCGTGTCCCACTTTGGCTTTATCTTGGTATCTTAACTCAATGATTCAATGGCAAAATATCAGTTTGGAATTGAACAATGCAGCTGCATTCTGGAGAAACTAAGGATTAGTAAAAATAAAATGAAATTAAGAAACAAAAAGAAAGTAAAGATGAAAAAAGGAAGACAAAAGACATTAAAAAACGAACAAGAACGAACGATGAAAACATCAAAACAAAGATAATGTAAAGAAGATGATAACGTAAAAAAGAAGAAAAAAGAAAGTAAGAAACGAAGTGGTAGTAACCACGAATGAAGACATAACAAGATGAAGTAGATGAAAACATAAAAAAGGAAGAAATTAGAGTTAAAAAGGAAGACAAAAGAGATTGAAAAATATGCGAAAGTCATGATGAAAACTATTCATTGATATCTTCATTTTCCTCTTCATCGGTCTCATCTTCATCACCCTCTTCGCTCGCTGATTCTTGTTCACGCTTCCGTTTTGGGGCCCGTTTCTTCAGACCCGAAGAATCCTTTGGAACCTGAGCCAACTCGAACAAACCTTTGGTGATATCGGTAGAGATACAGTCACCTTGTTCGTCATTGAGATTCTTGCTCAATTGAGTGACGAAACCCAACTCAGTTTGAGCTTCTGGATGTAGCACAATTTTAGCACCCCAGTGGAGCAGTCGAGCCTCACAATTGATCCATGGCCAGGCGTAGTTTTTGGTTGGAAAAGTTTTTTCTGTTTTCGATGGGGATGTCCTGATTTCAGTGAAACTGGAATTGATTAGAGTTACATAATAAAGAGATGAGGCACTTACTAAGAAGTCCCTTCAATGCTGCACGAGCTTGGTCTTGTTTGGGGTAAGCAATCGATTTCTTTGCCTTGACGCCAGGCGTGTCGAGCTTGGCAACTGCAACCCCGGTGCAGAAGCTCTGAAACTCACAGTTGCAATAAGCAGAGCCGTACCTTTCCTGATTCAGTTTTAGCCAGGATCGACCCCTCGGAGAGCCAGCAAACATCTGGAACGCATTTGGTCCCAGATGTGATGATACACAAAGTATCACTATGTTGCTGTTGGTCAGAGAAGCAATCCTCTTTGCCTTCGTTTATAGATAAAACTGGTAAGCGGCTGGATTGAAAGGTAGGTTGTAGAGAGACTTTACATACCTCCACCTCGGTTTCGGCGAGCCACAATTCGGCAGTCTGTTGAGCGCTTGCGAGCGATCTACCTGAACCTACCCAGCCATTCTCACCAGTTGATTTTGGTTCGACAGAGTCGGATGAGTCTCCAGTGGTTTGGTTCAAGTCGTCTCCTTCGGCTCCCAACAAAACCGATGTGAGGTTTTTGGATTTGCGAACATATTGTTGGTAGGTCAGCTTTTCATCGAGAGTCTTCTCGTTCCATAAGTCGGAGAGTACACTGTTTGCTTTGCCCTTAATTCCACGGTCTACGTGGGATGAGTTTGAATGTGAGATCAGAAGAATCCCACAAGTTGACAAAGCGAGCATAACCTACGAGTGCGATATACTTCCTGCCCTTCAGGGCTTGCTTGAAAACCGTTCCAGAGAGTCGCATCTCGCATGGCCTTGAATTCGCCACTTTAAAGGGATTCAAGCAGTCAGATGTAATCAAAAGTGAAGCTTTTGAAAATGAGACTTACATATGCCTTGAAGCCCTTTCTGGCGAAACACGTCTGACAAGACAATAGATCACTCTGATTATGTCGAGGTCATTTTCAAGAGCCATAAAAAAAGAACCATCGGCTTGCGAGAATGACTTTTTACAATTCTTTGCCGCCACAACACGCAGTTCAGCAGCCAAGATTTCTTTTGCAACAACTTTCTTCATTACTTCTTCAAGCTGATTGGCGACAATTGGAGTGAATGTCTTGGCGCTGTCTGGAAGCATTGTAACAATCGATTTGGGGAGGAATTGGTCGAGGATTTGTTTCATTGATAGAGGTGGCTCAGTTGGAGTAGTTGCGGTAGAAGTGGGGGTTTGCTGAATTCGAGTTAGTTGAGTTCGAGTTGGGCCTTGCCCACGGCCGCGACCTCTTGCCCGAAGAGAAGAATTCGCGTGTCCACCACGTCCGGAGCTTGTGTGTTCACCACGTCCAGCATTTAATGAAGTTGGACGTGGCAGTTGGCCTAAAGGTTCTTGACGAGGCCCTGGACTCCAGTATGTAGTTTGACTACCAGGGCCAAAGTTTGCACCCACTTGGGAAGTGTGCTGGTACTGAGATTGGTGCGAAGGCTGCTGATACGATTGGTGTGAAGTCTGCTGGTACTGAGAGTGGGAGCTTTGATATGGCAGAACCGACTGAGTGAAAGGAGGAGTTGGTGGTTGGATGAAAGACTGGTTGTTGAAGCCAAGATTCGTGCCTTGCGTGAAGTCGAGGTTGTCATAATCAGTTTGACTATAGGCCAGTTGAGTTAAGTTCGGGAGGGATGCCTGGTATGAATCCATTGTTGGTCACAACAAAAAGAAAGAAATACGAAAAAATTGTAAAGTTGGAGGTACTGAAAGTATCAGCAAGGTGTGTTGAGGTATAATCAAGGTGTGAGGAGTCAAGAGCTTGTTGTTCCCAAATTTGAAATTGTGGTTTAAACCTATTTTGTAAGACTACAAGGGTAATGTAAAAGCCACTTAGGTGGCTATTAGGGGTTTTTGACACGATTTTTGATGTGTATAAGACATCAGATAATGATACCACATTACCACAAATGTGGTACTGTTTGCCCATTCATTTGTTTCTCAAATCATGCTGGGGAAGATTTAAATTATCAATCATGATGCAATATTAACCTGAGATGTACAAATGAAAAACACAGCTACACAATGGGCACATAAAAACCCTGTTGATCAGCAAAGATAAATGCATTAATAACAGTAATATGACACCTTTAACCTGGCTTCTTGGAAGTTGCAGTAAAAGAAGATGTTACAATGAATCATGATTAATCTGTTAAACACCATCAGACAGAAATAAACGACCAATTTTCTGAGTGAAAATGGACCTGAGGTGCGGAAGCAGTTCGGGAGTAGTGATTCGTAAAGTGTTATGTGGATATAATGATCCAAGTACATGTGATTAGTGGATTGTGGTGGTACCATCAGAAGGCATTGACATTGGCGGAGAGTTTGAGCCCACCGCGGACCATTTTGGATGTAGATTGAAAATGTTATTACGGATTGCATCCATGTGGGTCACTGAGGTGCGCGGGAGGACATATGGGGCTCTGGACATTGCCACACCTATCAAAAGTGTTATTGGACAGTACATTCAGAAAGCCCCAATAAAGGCGGAAAAAATGAGTCTTTATTGAGGAGTTTTGTAAAAAGTTAACCAAGTTTCTGAGTGAAGATGGACCTGAGGTGCGGGAGCGGTATGGGAGTAGTGATTGGTAAAGTGTTATGTAGATATATTGTTGCACGTACATGTTAGTAGTGATCTGTGGTGGTACCATTAGAAAGCCCTGACATTGGCGGAGAGTTTGAGCCTACCACGGACCATTTTGGACGTCAATTGAAAAAGTTATTACGCATTGCATCCATGTGGGTCACTGAGGTGCGCGGGGACTACATATGGGGCTCTGGAGATTGCCACACCTATCAAAAGTGTGATTGGACAGTACATTCAGAAAGCCCTGAGCAAGGCGGAAAAAATGAGCCCTTACTGGAGTGTTTTGATCAAGAAGTGAGAAAG